TATCCATGGGGATCCATAGGGGGTCCCCGCTACACGTGAACCATTAACATTAATAACCTGATTCCAGGGCCGTCCCCATACTCCATCCGGTATGGGCGCCAAAACTATAAACCTCAATACCCCGTCCGGTATGAGGGTGAAACGGGCCGTCCCCATACCCCGTTCGGTATGGGCACCAAAACCATAAACCTTAATACCCCGTCCGGTATGAAGGTGAAACGGGTCGTCTCCATATCCCGTCCGGTATGGGCGCCAAAATACATAAGGTCTCCATACCCCGTCCGATATAAGAGACCACGTTCCCGGTAGGGTTCCCTACGGATCCAGTCTATCCACTATCTCCTAGGATATCTAGTCAGGTTGTCACATTATCCATTTATCAATTTAGATATATTTTCTATTTTTTTCTTAGTTTTCTGTTTATCACATAATCATGAATATTTAAACCAGTAACGAGCATCCAACAAGGCAGACTTATCATCAGATTCACAAAATGAAGCCATAATGAAGTAAATAGTGATTCATGCATTCAAAATCATAAAATAAATAGATTAGATACCATAATGCATTTAAAACTGTAAAATAACTAAAACAGCAACTGACCGAAAATATATTAGACTCGGACTCCATTAGCAACCTTAATTAATTATACATATCTATTAATTCACGAAATGCCGTTTTATTATTTATTGAGCTTTAATACCGTAATAGGAAATAGGGTGAGAAATCCTTACTTGTTTCGGGGTCTGAAATTGGCTCTATAATACACTTATGGGCTGTCCTTAAATTCTCTGAATTTTTCGCGGGAAATTGAAACGCATTAACGGTACCTATACGTGTCCCAAAAAATCCCAAATTAGACCCAGGGCCCATTTTTGGCCAATATCGAAATTCTGGCATGGCGGCTTCGCCGTGCTCCGTCGACGGCACTGCCGCTCGTGGTGGCGATCCGCCTCGGGTTAGACATTTTCGGCCAAATTCAGCCAAACTTGCATTGTTTCCTGCGATAAAACAACCTTAGGGCCCTCGGTGGGCCAAAAAATCACGAAAAATCGAGACTTACCGGCTACGTAGCTCTCGGGTGCGGCGGCTTCTCCGGTGCGAGTCGCGATTTGATGTTTTGCTCCCGTCAACCTGTAGAGAAAAGGACGGTGATCACAGTGGTGTAAAAATTGCATCGAACGGGAACCGGAAAGGGCCTCATCAGAGGCAAAAACTGAGGGAAGCCGCGGCGGCGCCGCTGGACTTCGGCGATATTTTCCGGCCGATTGATCGGTGGTTTGGCTCCCATTTGGCCATAGGCAGATTCAGCATCGAAAAATGAGCAAAGATGAGAAAATTTGCCTCGTTTGGCGGTCGGAAAACCCTCCAGTGCGGCGGCGGGTGGTGGTGGCCGGCTCCTCTGGTGATTAGTTCTTCTTCTCCGGCGAGGGTACTGGCGGCTAGGGTTTGGGGTCGGGTGTGGGTGAGGTTATTTATAACATTCTCCTTTTAATCTCAGCCGTCCATCACGATTTAATATGGACTGTCCGATCGCGATTAAAATGGGAATAAATCTGGACCGTTCGTGCGTGATTCAATATGGGCCGTCCGCACGCGTGAGATCTGGGCCGTCTGTGCGCGTGAGATCTGGGCCATCCGCACGCGTGAGATCTGGACCATTCGCACGCGTGAGATCTCGACCGTTCGATCGTGTGCACGCGGATCGCCCACGTAGCTCCGTCCCGCGTGGCCTCCTGTGTCAGCTTCATTTCCACGCGGCGTGTTCTGGTTGGCCGGGGCTGCTAACGTGGCACAACTTTTCTAAATTGTATTTTGACTCTCGGTTTCTGATTTTTTTTTCAAAAATACCTCCAGAATCTAAATTTTCACCCATTTTTTTCAAATCAATTTCAATTAAATTCTAAAAATAATTTAACACTATTTTATCATTATTATTATTTTTATTAAATTAAATTAAATTAAAACCTTAAAAATTAAAAATTAAAAAATTAAACTAAAATTTTAATATAAATTAAAATAAATTAAAAAAAATAAAAATAATAAATTTAGGTGTTACATAATTACTATTCGATTAAAATTTCGTTATATTCCTAATAAAATTAATTAATTTAAGCAAACGAAAACATGCCATTATTTTTTTTATTATAATTTTCTCTCCATTTCCGTAATAATTTATTGAAACATTAATACAAGGAAAACTTATCCGTAAATATATAACCCAGCGGCTGTTGTTACACAGAAATTAACGGCGTCCAACGCTACAAACGGGAGGGAAGACGATTTAAACGAATTCTAAAAATTCAGATTTTATTTGACAAGAAAATAACACAATAAAACTAAACATGGTGAATTATGTAACTTAAAATATTAAGATTAATTTTTTTTTTTACAGATGGTCGTACTACTTGCTCTCTTTGGATCTCTCTCTCTCTCTCAATCTGAATCTGCATCCCTCTTTCGTCTGGATGTGTATATTTCTAGGAGCAAGTCAGTCAGTTAACTGAATACCGTCTCAGCAGCTCGACACGTGCAGTTTCGAGCGGACGCGTGGCGCCATGGTTATATTTCTCATCTGAGTCACGGCCTTCTATTCTCGACGCTCTCAAAAAGTAGCCAAAATTCCTATCCTCCATTCTTTCTTGTTGCCTCTGATTTAATGCATCCAGAAGCGTGCCTCGGAGGAGAGGAAAAGTGATTCGCTGCAGCTGCAGGTGGAACAACCGGGAACCAGTTGGCAGTCTCGAAGATGGAGATAACGGCTGGGATGAGAAGTGTCTGGGTATAGAATGAGGAAGATTAGGAGCGTGGAGGGACTTTTTGGTTTCTCAGGCTTGAAGGGAAGGAAGATTAAGGTTGGCTGTTGACTTTTTAAGGGATTATTTTTCTGGTTTGGGGATAATGTAAAACAGATAATGAGGAGGAAGATGAGATGAGGAAATCGTAGAGGAAATAAAGTTTTGAAGGGGAGAGTGTTTGGAGAAGAAGGATAATCTTCCAGAGGTTGCAAACCACAACAGCGAGCTGTAAATGGTTCTCATCCCTACTTTAATTTTTTATTTTTCCTTTGGTTTTCAAACTGGTGTTCCATCTTCTTGATTTGTAGTGATTGTTCTCTCTGAATTTGATCTATCATACTCGTGTCTAACGGAGTTTAGAAATACAGTCCTCTATTGTTTCAGTTCCTGTATTATATCCTGTTAGTCTGTGTCAACATTTACTTTAGGTGAGATACTCAAGCTAGAATGGGTGCATGGAAGGATTTGATAATATGATTAGGAGTTTTTTGTTCATGGCTAATTGCTTAATAGTGAGAATTTCTACACAACTGAGGTGTTCTGTTGATTTTTTATTTTCCCCCATTTGAAGTGCTTCTTCCAGGTTATTACCTTTTCACAATTGAGGCCACATGGTTCTTATTTGAAGCGACGATCATATTGTCATCTTTGTTTGGGTCTTGATAAAAAGGGTGGCATATGGTTGCATATATTCTTTCAAAAAAAAAAAAAAATGCTTGCATATAACGGTGTTTGAGTCGATGTTTCTATTATATTCTAATATATATTTCCAGGATAATCACTGCTTGTATTAGCTTGTTCTTGTTAATATCCGGTTGTGTAATATTCTTTATGCTTTAAGAATAATTTACTTTTTTGCTTTTCCAGTTATGTAATTTTATTTAAAAAAAAAGTTATGTAATTTAAATAACTCTCTGAATCTTTATGTTTATGCCATTGTTCTTATGGTTTTAAATAGAAAAGAGGTTTGCATTTTTTATCTAACGCTGTTCTTTCGCATCCCCATTTGTTCGTACATTATGAGACAGCCTTGACACTTTGGACTAAAGTAAACTGCTTTGTTAGGTTTATGTTGGGTTACTCCTCGTAAAGGAATGTTTGATTCACAGTAGCGTTCAGGGGGAGGGACTATGGATAAGGGAAAAATCCCTTTGGGAAGGGTCAATTTGCTGGGCTATGGATTTTATGGCTTGGAAAGTAAACTGCTTCGTTCGGTTCATGTTAGGTTACTCCTCTCACAGTCGAATGTTTGATTTACGCTAGCATTCAGGGGGTGGGAATGCTTACGGGGGCAAAATCCCTTTGGAAGGGGCTATTTTTGTAGGGTTATGAATTTTATGGTTTGAATAGAATCGGAGGATTTTTTATGATGATTACTCGTCAATTGGAGAATGTTGGATAGATTAACATTTTTGGCTACTTTATGGGCCGAACTGAATAGACATTATTCCAATTATCACTGAAATTCATCATGTTTGGGTGTCAGTGCCAGTAAATCGTTGAAGGTTTATTATCAGAAGAAGTGTCAAGGGAAGGGTTAGGGTATTGTTTTATATCATTACTGTGTGAGAACTTGTCGTGTAAAGTGTTGTGTAAACTACTTTCTTAAGTAGTTGTATAACTGTTATTCTGTTGTAGTTGGTAAGAAGATCTTTTTTTGTTCTGTTAGAAGTAAATAGCTGAATAAATAGGAATTGGTTGGAGGATTGATGTTTGACAATTCATACTCAGAAATTAAGAACTTGAACCATCAGTCACTGTTGGAGAATTAATCTGCATTTCCGAAGTTTCTTCATCTCTATTTTTCTATTTCTTTTCTCATCTTACCTGGCTCTCCTCCTTTTCTCATCTACAAAATAAAATCAAGAGTTAATGTCTAAAGCTCTTGACAAAGTGTTATCTGAGCATTGTGATTTTGAAGAAATGCAAGTTGTCATGGCACCAATGATGAGGAACAATGGAAAAACTGCTGCGACTGATCAGCAGAAAATGCAGCAGATTGACTCTACTCTTTGGCTTTTTGGTGCATTTTGTAGTATAACCTCTTGAGAAAATTTTTCCTAATTATTTTGTTTTATGCCATAGGAGGAGGGAGTGCCTCTCACATTCACACCTTCCTGTCTTGTACATTTACAGGATTCATTTCTCTGTCTTCATTTTTTGACATCTGGTTCCTTCTCCAATAGTGTCAATGAAGACTCCATTTTTGGAGGGTCTCAACATCAACTGGTTATGACAATGGGTATTTAAAGTTCTAGTCTTTTGGGTATAAGTAGAGTAGCAGACAGGCAGCACCGGTCTTGGTGATTATTGTCTTGAAATGTTGATATTGGGATTTGCAGTTTACATGTCAATTGAGTTTAATTCTGCTTGTCAGGATTGAAGCAATTTCTTTTTGGTTTTTTAGCACATTTGTTTTTTGATGTGCTTAATTGATAAGGAGACATGATTGTTGGTAATAGGAGTTCCTCTGTATCTCTAAAATGTTTGATCTTGTTATTGGAAAGAGGTGAAGCTATTGTCCTTGTTTTCTAACATTATTGAATGTTAGTGTTTGGGGACAGTGAATGAACAAATGAGAGCAATTTTGTGGTTGCTTTTCAATTTCAAAACATCTTTCAAGTGCTTCAGACTCTTGCTGTTTGTTTTTTTTTATATGAGCATTTAATTTTTCCTTTTGGTAGTTGATGACATTTCTTTTTGAATCTGTTGAGTTATTGAATTTGCATAACATTCTTGTTGTTCATGTTTTTATGTGTTTTTTTCATACCTGCCACATTTGAAATGGATGTTCAAAGTCTGATTGCTTTGCAGAAATATAGAAGTTCAGTAACCAGGCAAACTTCTGCTCAAATGTCTGAGTCCAATAATGCTGAGTATGTGGAATTGGGAGAAGGACTTGCCCCAAGGTTGGAGAAATTTCAAAGGGTTTCGGTTCTACCTCTGGTTTTCCTGATCTTTTATGAGGTATCTGGGGGTCCATTTGGGGTTGAAGATAGTGTACAGGCAGCTGGTCCCCTTTTAGCCCTTCTTGGGTTTTTGTTTTTCCCTATTGTATGGAGCATTCCTGAAGCCCTTATAACTGCAGAGATGGGTACCATGTTCCCTGAGAATGGAGGGTATGTTGTTTGGGTTTCATCAGCATTGGGTCCGTACTGGGGCTTTCAACAAGGTTGGATGAAATGGCTTAGTGGGGTTATTGATAATGCATTGTACCCGGTTTTGTTCCTAGATTATGTGAAATCAGCAATCCCAACTTTGGCAGGGGGTTTACCTAGGGCAATAGCAACTCTTGTTTTGACCATGATGCTCACTTACATGAACTACAGAGGTTTAACAGTTGTAGGGTGGGTTGCTATTTTCTTGGGGGTGTTTTCCCTTCTTCCTTTTGTGTTTATGGGACTTGTAGCAATTCCAAAACTGAAGCCGTCAAGGTGGCTTGTGGTAGATTTGGGTAATGTGAATTGGAGTTTATACTTAAACACTCTTTTCTGGAATTTGAACTACTGGGACTCCATTAGTACTCTAGCAGGAGAGGTGGAAAATCCTGGTAGAACACTGCCTAAGGCTCTTTTTTATGCTCTTATATTTGTTGTCATAGGCTATATTTTCCCTCTTTTGATTGGTACTGCGGCAGTTCCCCTCGATCGTGAACTTTGGTCTGATGGTTATTTCTCAGATATTGCCAAAATGGTTGGCGGAGTTTACTTGAGATTGTGGGTTCAAGCGGCTTCTGCTCTATCAAATATGGGGATGTTTGTGGCTGAGATGAGTAGTGATTCTTTCCAACTTCTCGGGATGGCAGAGCGTGGGATGCTCCCTGAGTTCTTTGCTAAGAGGTCGCGTTATGGAACCCCACTCATTGGGATACTATTCTCTGCATCTGGTGTTATATTGCTTTCATATTTGAGCTTCCAAGAGATTGTAGCTGCAGAGAACTTCTTGTACTGTTTTGGAATGATTATGGAGTTCATAGCATTTGTGAAACTAAGGATAAACTATCCGGCTGTATCACGGCCTTACAGGATACCTGTTGGAACAACTGGGGCGATCTTGATGTGTATTCCTCCTACGTTACTGATTTTCGTGGTATTGGCATTTGCCCCTACCAAAGTCATGGTTGTCAGCATTTTGGCCGTGCTCGTTGGTCTTATTCTGCAACCTTTTCTCCAGTACTCCGAGAATAAGAGATGGTTTAAATTCTCTACTAATGCTGACCTTCCAGTTCTGGGTTCTGCATTAGACTAGCGTATGAATCCTCTGAACTCCAATAGCTTTTTTTTAAAAAAGATTTTCTGTCCATGTTAAGCTGTAAATTCAATATTTATAGCAATTTTGCTGCGTTCATTATGTTGCTGATATATAGGCAGAAGTTGTATGATATTATCAAAGTATTTTGGGTAGGACAAAAAATTGAGGTGTAAATCTCTTTAGAGTATCAATTTTATAGATAAGTAAAACGATGGCCTGGTTATGCTTATGATTGCCTTGTAATGCCGCTCTTAGAGTTTGAGGTGTAAATCTCTTAAGGATGTCTTTTGGTATTACTTAGAAAACTACTTTGTTTTTAACATAAGAAAACTACTCTATTTGTACTTAATTACCTTATACCATTATATATGTTTTGATAACAGACACACATATGAATTCATAAATATAGAAAAATAGTTAAAAACTATTTACATATATTGAGTTGAATATTTTAGCCATTTGTAGGTTTAGAGACCTTGAACAGGTTTCACCTGCGATCAGATCAATCTAATTTTTCCAAAAGCTTTTCTTTGCTGTGCTTTAAGCCTCCTTGCCTCTTTGAGTTACTCTGAGTTATGGAAGTTGCATCTTGTAGAGATATGGGCAGGCTACAAAGAGTTTATACGAGTCAATTCTATTGTTCCTTCAAGATGTTTGGCTTGTGATCTTCAAGATTACTAGCTTAACATTAACTTTTTACCAAATCAATTTTACTGAATTACTGCAAGAGATTAAAATCTTAGAAGTACATTGTATTCCAGACGACGGTACATCCTAACTCCTGTAGATATGGGTAACTGTTGTTTCTGGAGATCGCTTCACTACATTTTTAAGCCATGAAGATTGAAGACTGAGAAAACTGCTTTATTATAAAGGCAAGCTTGTCATCCATAAGCAAAATTGAATAGAAAATTTCTTGCCAGGTAGCCAGGCAAGTTCCTTCATCTACCAAACTTTGCTTGTGTATAAATACATAGTACTTCTGTGAACCTTCTCTTTGTGATCTTCCAGTTCAAAACTGTTTGATGTGGATAAATTATATTAAGTTAGCAGGCAGACCTTGTCCTCTTCCTTTGATTATTCCCTATGAGTCTCAACAAGCTGTACAGTGTCTCCCAGCTCACCAGGGCACCAGAAATTACCATCTCAGTTACATGGATAAGTTGTACAGTGTCAGGATAAACTGGCAAAGTTAATTTTATACGAGTTTACTATAATTTTCAATACAAAATTCATAATTTTGTTTATTTCAATTATTTTTTGTTATAATCAATAGAATTTTTTATTCCAATAGTTATCTCAGCTAATTTTTTATGTTAGAGATTTAGTTTCGGATTCTTATTTAACGTAAATTAATTGTTATCGTAAATTTGATAAAAATATCAACAGATTTATCCCAACAGTTACCTCTACCATCTTTCAAATCATTTAAATTCTTGTTTAACGGAAATTAAATATCAACAAATTTTAGACCTCATAAGAAAAACAATTAAATTAGGAAAGTAAAAATTAAAAAATAGAAAGAAAAAAAAACAAGGAGAGAATGAAAGGAGGGATTAGAGAAAAAGCCTATCTATTTTCATCTCAAACCCAAAATTAAAGGGCCATTAATTTCTTCCATTCTAAAGTCTCAGCTTCAGTATACAAAAGCCTTGTTTTTTTTTGCCTTGGTATCAATCATCATTTGTTTTACGCGATTGAATTTGAATCATGCTCGTACTGGTAACAATTATACATTAATCATATTCATGTCACCCTTTTTGATTTATTGGTTCAATAAGGTATATTCCTTAAAATATAATTTAATTTATTGCTTCTGGGTTATAAACACCAACATAAATAGGCAAAACATAGTACAAAGAAAAAGAACATGGGGTGTAACATTGCGTATCATAAGATTGATATTACTCCATTTTCGGACATTACAACATTTCATCTCTATAAAATATCGATACCCCTTGGATTTTTCTCTCTTAACCATCAATAAAAATAAGAGCAAAACTTCCAAATCTCCTTGCTGCTGTTCGAGAGAAAGAAAAGTTGTTCGTAGCCAAACTATCTCCCAACACAACTATTATCCCGTAAAACTAGAAAAGGTGTATCAGAGAGCAAATTAAACAGGAGAGAAGATGGGTGTTCAAAGAAAAAACTCCCCTTTAATATCTTCAAAGAAGAAATCTCCTACTCTTGAGGAGCTTTTCTCACTTGATTCCAGAAGTAATGGTTTTGTCAGCAACCTTTCAAGCCCCATCAATGGCCGGCAGAGTAAAACCAATTCTGAATATGACGAAATCCTCTCTTCAATCTCTTACTGCAGCTTCGTCTTCACGTTCGCTGATTCTTCAGAGTCTCCCTCTCGACAAGATCTCAAAAGGGTCAAACTAACCAAGCTCTTATCTTTCATAAAGTATCCAAACAAGTCTCTGAACGATGAGGTTTTATCATCTCTCATGTCCATGTTATCAGTCAATCTTTTCAGACCACTTCCTCCACCTTCAAATCCCTCCATAATCTCCTACTTGCCGGACGATGAAGAACTCATCTCTGCTCCCTTACCCGTTTGGCCACACCTACAAATCGTCTACGATATTCTCCTTAGACTCGCCATCAACTTAGATCCCAATCTACTCTGCAACTACATTGATCATTCCTTCATCATCAATCTCCTCTCTCTGTTTCAATCCGAAGATCCAAGAGAGCGGGAGAGCTTGAAGAATGTGTTCCACAGCATATACTCGAGGTTCACCTTCTACCGTTCGTTCATGAGAAAAGCAATGAACGATGTGTTCTTGTACTATATTTTTGTAACAGAGAGACATTATGGGATTGGCGAGCTTCTTGAGATATGGGGAAGTATCATCAATGGCTTCACTGTGCCGTTAAAGGAAGAACACAAGGTGTTCTTGATGAGAGTACTGATTCCTTTACATAAGACCAGAGGGATGCAGGTTTATCACAGGCAACTTTCTTACTGTGTGAACCAGTTTGTGCAGAAGGAGCCCATGCTTGGTGGAGTTGTGGTTAGGGGGATTCTGAGATATTGGCCCTGTGACTAATAGTCAGAAGGAGGTTTTGCTTATGGTGAATTGGAGGAAATTGTAGAGAATCTTGACCCTGATCAGTATAGGAAGTTGGCTTTGCCTTTGTGCACCCAGATAACCAGATGCTTGAACAGCTGCAACTCACAGGTAATTTTGTCACTAATCAAATGTTTGATTCCATTGGATCCAATTTTCTTTCTTTTTCCATTCATTTTGGTGTTTCTTGTGACGAGTGAGGTCCAATTAGGTGGCTTCGAGACATCATAATTTGAAACATTATCTAATTTAGTAATATTGTATAGTAATATCTTGCAAGAAATTAATATGAAATATTAGTAGATTATTTCATCAAATTCTTAAATTATTGTGAAATGTTAAAAATAATAGATTTTTTTTTGCAACGACTAATTTTGCTACATAAACTTTTGCTTGAGAAATAGGTAGCGGAGCGAGCATTGTACGTGTGGAACAACGAGCAGTTTGTGAAGATGGCATCGACTGCATTGGACGAGGTGTTTCCAATGGTTGTAGAAGGCATGGAGAGGAACTTGAAGGAGCATTGGAGCAAAAGTGTGAAGCAACTAACAAAAAATGTGCAAGTAATGCTTGAAGAAATGGATCCAAATCTTTACTACAAATGTATAGAAGAAATGGATTCAAGAGAATCCACTGCACAACGAGAAGAGTCGGAGAGGAAGGAGAGATGGACAAGAATAGAATCCGCAGCAGCAACAAGAGGAAATAATCAGTTCTTGTAAGAAAGAAAATTGATAATAGCAGTGTCCTTCATTGCAGGAACAATACTGTAAATTTTCAAAAAAAAATATTTTTACAGCACCAGAATGTTAATTGTTTTGGAGGGGGAATATAAACTATATAATATAGAAAAGTTAAAAGAAAAACTTGTTGGTAAATAATTGTTATTCAAAGAGGAGAAGAAAGTAGTCCCTAGCCAACCTGGTGAATGACATAGACTACAGTTTGCCAACTAAGAAATATCAATCATGTATGTTTTGGTCAATCATTATATTAGATATAATGAATGTAAAGATTCCAACCCATGTATATATTTGTATCATTTATAATTATATTTTGAATTATATAACAAAGATTTGTTATGATGTATGATTATTAAAGTTATGTCAACTATAATATGAAGTATTGGAAAGTGACGCCTGCAAGACAAGACCAAGTCTTTTAGGGAGAAGAATATTTCCAAGTTCAGGCTCTAAAGGTAAGATTTTTAACCTTAAAATATTTTTAAGCCAAATTTTTGCATTGAGTTTTTTCTTTTTAGATTTTTTTATTGACAAGTAAATATATATATATATATATATATGTCTTTTGAGAAACGAGTGGGGCTAGTTTAGTTATGTATACTTCATGATTAAATTATATATATGAAATTATAAGAGTTTAAATTGCAAGTAAACATATTCCTTACTAAAGTATTTATTTTTTGTCCTGGAAAAGTGGAATGTGCGAATTCAAAATTCCAATTTAATAATGAAATCCATTGTTTTGTAGACAAATGAAAAACTTCATACAAATAAAAATAATGTTATTTATGTAATAAGGTTATATTTGAGTTTAAATTTTATTTGTGATAGTAATAGGAGCAACAAGAAAATTGTCCTTACTTGGCAGATGAGAATAAAAAATCTATGATTGTGAAATTGAACATATTAATGAACTTAACTTAGTGATATATTAAATGTATGATTGATTTTGATATATCAAATAATTATTATATAGAAACTCAAATTAACATAAAATAAATTCAAACCAAACACAACCTATAATTGTAATTGTACAATACTCTGTAGAATGTTTGTGTTCAAATCTTGTAAAAGGTTTTCAGCTCAAACTTGGAGAACACAGAGAAGATGTGGGTTTTGGGCGGCTTCTCTTTTTGCCTCATCTACTTTTGCTGCTAACTAGCAAAACTATCTCAACTCATTGTTTGCTTCAATAATAACTACTTGTTCAAATCTTGTAAAAGGTTTTCAGCTCAAAATAGGAGAACGCAGAGAAGATGTGGGTTTTGGGCGGCTTCTGTTTTTGCCTCATCTAGTTTTGTTGCTAACTAGCAAAACTATCTCAATTCATTGTTTGCTTCAATAATAAATACTTGTTCATCGATAAAAAGAATGAAAATGATTTCTTGAGTTGGGTATTTATTACATTTCAAGATACTAATCTTTTCACAAATCTCAAACTTGACACTAGTAATTGAATACATAAATTTTGATATACATGAATTTTGAAATTTATAGATTCTTTGCGTGAGAAATTCAACATATGCTATCAAAGTGATCTAGTGGTAACTATAGTATAACCATTGTCTTTTTTTAGTGAAAAAAAATTAAGTCGAATTTTAACATGTTGTAACTACATCATCTAAAAAAATCATGTTGAAATGTTCCTTTTGCTCTTTCAGCTAACCCTGAATTTGCTTAGTTAAAGCATATAATATTCAGACACACATATTTCGTTATCTGCTTATTTCTTGTTTGTCATTAAGCAGTTTCATTCATAAATAAGAAGAAAACTTTTGAATTTGAATTGTTAAAGAACTACAAGTTCAATCCAGTATTCAAAAATACTAGGCATAAGAATTTTAGATCATAAATAGAACCCCAATATGATAATGGGTCTTATATCAAGATAGCATTTTTAAAACCACAAGCACATTCCATAGCTCAAAAACTGGTACATGCTAGCACCTTTTAAATTTTCACGCATAAATGTATATAAAACATTCTATATAGCCCTACCCATGTCAAATGCACTGGGTTACATGGATGAAAAAGAAATTGAGAATGAGGATGATTGATGAACTATCTAGTTTGAAACTAAAATTTCAAACAGGAGAAACAGAGAGGTGGAATTACTACCTGCCAAACAGAATGTTGATTAGAGTTCTAAATATATGGCCTCTCTTGGTGCTGACAACTTCCCTCACAACTCCCTCATCATCAACCTCAAATCCTTTCTCCTTCATCTGTTGCAGCAACTCCCTGGCCTCCTCCTCTTTCTGCTCTCTCACCAACCCCTCAAACACAGCGGTATACGTGGCAGCATTTGGACGCATCCCTTTCCCCATCATCTCCATCACGTACTTCTTCGCATCCCCATGCATTTTGGGTTCTCCAGCTAGTCCCTTTATGAGTACACTGTAGGTGTACGCATTGGGCTGAACTCCGCACGCAAGCATCCGCATGAAAACCTTGAGGGCCTCCTTGGGCTGACCCGCATTGGCGTAAGCCTCGATTACGGCCGTGTGAGCCACCACGTCGGGCATCTGTCCTTTATCCTTGATTTGAGCGAAGAGCTGGAGGGCCTCGTGGGTTAGACCGTCTTTAGACAAAGCGTCGAACATCTTGACTGCATTGTTGAAAAGACCTTCGCTTTTCATGTTATGAAATATCTCTTGAAGATCTTTTGGGTCTTTGGGTTCCTCAATTGCTGGCTTCTTGCTGAAAGGGTCGTAAGGAGGAGGGAGCTTGGATTTGTCGATTTCTCTAGTTGTAGCAGCAGGGGAGTTTTGGGTATTGTCATCGTCATCGTCTGAATCGGAGAGAGAGAAATTAACCTTGGTGTTGACGAGCTTCTTGTTGTTACTGGTGGTTGATTCTGATTTAGAGGAGAAGCTGAAGGATTCAAGGAAAGGTTTACCATTACAAGAACAAACAATATGAGATGTTGCTGTTAATACTCCTGTAAGAAGTTTGGGTCTCGCAGATGGAGAAGAGAAGAAGCTGTAGGTTTTTGCAGGTGGGGAGACGAGAAAGAGAAGGTTATGATTATAGTTGAGAGAAAGAGAAAAACAAGGACGATGACGGCTGAGGGTAGCTAGAGATTTATACATCATCCTCCACGCCATGAGTAGAGCTCTAATTTTCTGCGAGCCTATGGTCTTGGGGTTAGATAACGGTTATGTTGGGTTCAAATGGTTCTATTATAAATCATTCTTGATCGGTTGATAGGATAGTTTTAATTATTTTATAAGTATATGTTATCTGCAAGTGTGTCGTTTGATTAATAAATACATACATTTTTGTTTAAAAAATTACCATATTTTTTTTTGCTTGATTTTTCAAGATTTATTCTTATAGTTCTTTTACAAAATATTTTATAGAGTTCTTAAAACTCATGTTTGTTACACTTAATAATTTATTATTTTTCATAAGTCTTTAATGGTCAATCTTTAGAATTCTTGAGTTAATATTGCCCTCAAAAACCCAAACGATCAGATCCCCCGTCAAAGTGAGAAGGAAATGTCATTCCATCACCAAGCTTGAGAATGCTCGTTAAACACTTGCAGATACATGAAGCACAGTTTAAATTTGGTTGGATTGTTCGCCTTCAAACAAATTTGCAATCCTCCCTCAACTCTTCAAAAGTATTATTTTTGGTTCCATGCAGCCTGTTCAAAAGTTATCAGAAACAAATATGTAAAGAAAATTCCAATTATAGGGGGTAAACCATACAGCAACATATAACTGGTTTCTTTGTTTGCCAAAAGGGACAAAATGATACCAAACAAGTTATCTGCTTACTGTAAACTTGTAGTATATTTGATGTGTCCAGATTTTCAGCAATCCAAGTCAAATCTTACGCAAGAGCTTCTAACAACTCTCTATGCAGGCAACATTCATCATTACACTATGGTTCACCTATTAGCATGTATCTCCAGTAGTATGCTTGTATGTGCCTTACTCCAGCATTTAAATTCATCACGACCTGCACCATATAATATTTTATACCAAGTAACACGCTAGTATTATGTATGTAAATGCAACTAAGTAAAACAGATACAAGTGTTTAGTGACATTCCTACTAACTTTTCACTGGAACTAAATTGTTAAAAATGCAACAACAACAATAATTAATCCTCAAAAGCCTACAAATAGTTCAAATAATTAAAAAATGAAACTAAAGAGAAATTTAAATTGTTCACATAGCAGAAAGAACAACTATTTTTGTATCAGATGTTCGCACAGGGAGGAAATATCTATTAATCCCAAATCTTAAAGAGCTGTCTCTTATTGGAAAGAAATATGCACCAATAAGTAGGAATGTCCTATAATTTGCAGAAACTTATCAGTCAATCACTAGATAAAAATTTGCAGAAAATGTAATGGCACCCTGAAAAATTCTCTCACACTCTGCAGAGTAAATGAAATCTCAGAGAGAACCGGCATTATAGAGTCCATTCTAACAATTCCTTACTTATTTTTGCTATAGAACAGAAAATGTATACTATACACCATTCGCTCACCCAAAATACAGTTTAGGGCATGCAGAGACCACGATCAGTCCCTTTTCCAGCTATTCCACATGAATTGTATACTGAGTATTACACAATTCACCACATGGACATCACTAATCCGCCACTGTTTCTTACGAAAGTGAAAAACTGCTAAACAAAGAATTTCAATCCCTTCCTCTACTTCTATCACTGTCTCCCACCTTCTGTCATCAGTAATCTCTGTTTACATCTCAATTGATACAAAATAATCAGATCAAAGTTCAAAAGAAATCAGACAACTCATTCAGTATGAAGAGGAAAAAGAAAGGATATACCTTGGTAGTTTTTGCAGCATAGAATCTTCATATGCCTCATTGTTTAATCGGTTAAGCAATGTGGTAATGGAGTTTCCTATTGCTTAACCTTCATAGTTTTTGCAGCACAGAAAACTCATTAAGCCGTAATGGAATTTCCCAACCAGATTGCTTAACCGTTCTGCCTCGGCAGATTTCTCAGCAGTAGGAAAGTCCATTAAAGCTTCTCGTTGAAGAGGCACAACCAGCAGTGGATTGGAAAGATCGCCATCCACAGTTCCTGTAGCTGCCACCTTAGAAACCCAAACAAACACACAGCTTATAAGCAAATATGCATAACTAAAACATAATTACTGTGTCCTTAAGCCCACCATATCAAAAACTTAAAGCTATAACTTGAATTTTCTTCCATAAAAAATCATGATCCAATATAAATTTTAACACTGCTATAAGAAATAAATCTACAAATTAAATAAGAAATTAAACAAAAGCAAGTGCTTGCAGAACTAAAGCTGCTTATTAAACTCACCACTGCGTCCTTCGTGTACATAACAATCAGAGCAGAAGCTTTCTTCTTGTTACTCCTGATAACAACATCTTAAACTTCTCCATATCTTGAAGCAACTCCCTTGATCTCTCTCCTGTAAAACCCTCCCTCAGATTTTTCTCATGAAACCTTCAGTACCCTCTCTTTATCCAATTCAGCCCCAGCACTGGCGTGCTCCTTCTTCGCTCCCTCTGCCTCCTTAGGCTTGGTGGTAGCAGCTTTAGGCCCATGTCTTTCCAACATCCTATCAATCTCAGCTCTCAACTTCTTGGCGATTATCTCCTCCTCCTTCTGCACTCTCACGGCAAGTTCCGGTTTAAATGCAGCCCGCTTTCTCTCCTTAAGATCTGACGCCTTCCTTCATCGCTTGGAATCTTGTTGAGTTTGCTGGCGGATCTCCTCGCACTTGGCCTTAAGAAGTTCATTGAACAATTTTCGAGCTTTTTCATCCTTGAGAACCTTTTAAGACATCTTCAAGCTTTGAAGTTAGCATGGGCATTCAGATCATCTGGCTGCACTTCCAAAGCTTTCAATCTGTATGCTTAGGAAATTTCCTTCTCGCTAAGCTTCGCTCCTTCCTCACCAGAGAGTAATCCCAGAACTCTGTACTGATCAACAAAATCATCCATGTTGAGTGTTCAGTGCCCAGAAACACTGCAATTCACTCGGGCGAGGAATTCAACGCTGGTAGTTAACATCAAAGGGAGAGAGCCAAAAGAGAGGTTGGTTGATGATGAGACGGTGCGGCAATCCTGCGATGAAAGGTTACGGGTTCGGCGCTCAGGCGGTGGATTTGGATGGTCATTTAATGCAGGTAGGGGTCAGATTTGGTTGATATAAGAGTCGGGATTTAACCAAGGCACAGTTCATTATAGTTCATGGAGTCTCCAATGTAAGAATATGATTTTTCATGATTAACAAATAATGGCCTAGATTTAAAATGCCAAATAAGTTAGAGATTCTTACTTTGTCCAGTACTGGATAAGGCTTCCAGCCTTCCACTCCGTGTCTAGTCATAATGCAGTAAATGTAAGGAAAAATTTGGAAGGGATAAATTTAGAGGATTATGGTCTCTATTTGTATTTACCTATTGATGCAGAATTTGAATTATGAGAGTCGCACTCTCCTCTATGCCGTGGCTTTGATGCTTCCTTGGCAGCTTTGATTTTCTGAGAACAAATGATGCCAGGCTGTGCACGATCTATCTTTAATTTTTTTAAGAGTTGCAGTCAGACTCTAGCTTACTGAATAATTGCATCGATAGCCAAATTTCCATATTTTGTTTAGATAAGTTGGATAGTTCACAAAATTACATTTAAAAA